CCAGGCCTACACGAGATGAGGCAGGATAAAGAGGGATAATCCCCCTCGATCCCAAATCATTGAGGCCAATTTCTAGCCATAGAATAATGGCGCGCTTCGAAAATTTCCGACCTATCCCAAATCAAATGAGAAACATGTTGTAAATGAATGACTGTCGCATTTCTTCCTTGCCAGTTGAATGGTTCAGCAGCATATGATTAAAATAAGTAGTCGCCGCCTAAAGAGGTCCATTGTCTGGGATTTTTTGAAAAAAAATTATATAGAAAACATAATTTTTGTATTATTTTCATTCATATGAATTTCTATCCTCGCTAAGTAAAGATCCCTTCTAAACCGCCCTTCAAAACCGGGCGATGCCACTCATAAAATTCTTGCATATCTCTTTTATTGTATGTCGGTGTCGGTGATATTCGATTGTCTCATCCATCCTCTCGGCCGTCTTATCTCGAGGTTTTGTAGCTTGTTAGAGCGTTGGAACAATCGAAACACCTGCGCTCTCGCTCGAGTAGCGCGTTTGCGTTATTCGGTGACGACTGACGTTAGTAATGCTGTGGTCACTGTCAGTCGTCTCCGAATAATCGAATAAATCTATATGATCACTCGAGATTTTTATAATCAATAATTTTCATTCGAGTAGTCCCATCACAACTCATTTTGGCAACATATAGCTCCACGTTAGGCGTCAATGTCAGGGATTTATGTAGATCGGTTCTCTATCTTCTGCCATAGCCCCACGTTAAGCGCCATGACGCGGATTTTGTTCGGTTTGACTAGCACAAAACACATAATATACGGACTAGCTTATGGTGGAATTGACCTACCGTTATCTGCCCTTAACATATTTAGAGGGTCATAAACTCTCACAATGGGTCTGGATGGAGCATTTCTGTTCTGGATCCGTCCGTTTTTATTTGTGGTGCTAGGACGTTAATCGCCTTCTCGCAAATGAGGGACAGTGTGCAAGTATTTTCTAGCATCTCTACGAGGGATGATAAGGGAAGATGCGAAGTTGTTTTATATTTCTACTAATTTTACGGCAGGAACTGCGCTATTTGGACTTTTATTGTAGAATTATTGCGAATATCCGAAACATAGACGAATTTTGACGCAAAACAAAAGTATTATATCATAAAGCACATTTGTTAGGGAATGTATTTTATGTGCTGCATGTTATTGACTTGTAAATAAAAGTAATGTAAAGTTTCATTTCATAATAAAATTAAAAAAAATAATTTATTATAATACTATAACACATTGTATTTAAACCAAAGAACTGTTGGCCCATTGCACCACCTCAGTAGGTAAACCAACATATTTTTTTAATGCATCACTTATTTGTTTAGAAGTCACCAACAACTTGAAGAATTGGTATTCTTTTTGATTTCTAGATCCTGCTCCACTGATCATAGATATTATCTCCAAATTCTAAAAAAGAACTCATGAACTAACAATAAAACAGAAAAGTTATAGAAAAATAACTATGATAAATTTTAACAAACAATGAAATGATTTTTATTAAAATTAAGGTGCAACAATAAAAATTACCTAACATATGAACACAAGATTACTTTCATATAAACATTACCTGAATATGTTCAAAAGCTTTCATAATAACAGGCCTTTGTACACTTTGAATATTTGAATTTGCATTGACAAATTTAAGGTACCTCGAGAAAACCATTTCGAAATTCATTGGTTGATTATCATATATCTCAACATGATGTTTCATAGATATTATAAGACAAAGTTCTAGCACATTTAAATCTAGTAAAATTTGTAACATATCATCTCTCTCCATTACGTTTATTTGTTCTTGAAAAACATCCAGGGACAAAGTAGTGTCCTTCAACTGACAAACAATTTTGACCTACAGAAATATTTCCATTAAAAAAATATGTGAGATATACAGGCTGTTACAAATTCACTTCTCACTACAGGGATCTCGTAAACGGTAAGAGGTACGAAGTAGCTTAAACGGGAGCAAAGTTGCATAATCAGGGGATCAACATTATGCCTCTAAAAAATCAAGGCTAACTTGATTAGTTTTCGAAATATTTAAAAAAAAAACGAAATTTTGGAAGTCCGTTTTTGTTTCATTTCAGCCTTGTTTGAGGTGATATTGAAAAAAGAAGAACACTTTCTCATGGCCACTTTTTGCCCTCTATCGAATGGCATAATCAATTTTTATATGTAACGTTTCGTCTCTCCAGGACCATCATCAACTTCATTTTTTTAAATACGACCCTAGAAATTTTATTACATTTTTTGCAAGCCTTCATGACCCCCAATACTGTACTGCCTCAGCCCGAACCAGATTCAGACGTTTTGTCTCGAAAAATTCATCTTCAGTGTATTCGTTCCAAATTTATCTAAATTTTTTATTTAGATTTCTTTGTTTATTGAATTATCGTACACTGTAAGTGTCGTTAGACCCTGTGAAATCCATCTAGTTATTTAAACTATTACCACCACGCATTAAAATAAAACATTATTAGAGTTTTATTCCCGTGTCCATAGTTATTTCTAGGCTTCTCGAGTGCTCAAAATTCAAACAAATTCCGATCTATTTTTTTCAGGATATTCATACAAATACATCTGACATGCTCTTTCACAGTTGCGGTTACAGATATAATAAATTCCGATAATATTACGCTGATCTTCATTTTCAACCTTTGCCAAAACGAAAATGTTTTTGAACATTTACTGAAATTTTTTAAAGAATAATATTCAGTTGGCGTTTTGGTTGTTCATATGCATTTTTAAGAATTAATTTGTCATAATAAAATTAAAATTGTAATAATGTTTTAATTTTGACGCAACAACTTATTGAGTTATGTATGACCAAGTGATGGTAATAGTTAATAATAATAAATGTTTTATTGTAACGCGTGGTGGTAATAGTTTAAATAACTAGATGGATTTCACAGGGTCTAACGACACTTACAGTGTACGATAATTCAATAAACAAAGAAATCTAAATAAAAAATTTAGATAAATTTGGAACGAAGTACAGTATTGTGGGTCATGAAAGCTTGCTAAAAATGTAATAAAATTTCTAGGCTCGTATTTAAATAAATGAAGTTGATGATGGTCCTGGAGAGATGAATCGTTACATATAAAAATTGTTTATGCCATTCGACAGAGGACAAAAAGTGGCCAAGAGAAAGTGTTCTTCTTTTTTCAATATCACCTCAAACAAGGCTGAAATAAAACAGATTTCCAAAATTTCGTTTTTTTTTCAAATATTTCAAAAACTAATCATGTTAACCTTGATTTTTTAGAGGCATAATATTGGTCCCCTGATTACGCAACTTTGTCCCCATTTAATCTAGTTTGTATCTCTTACCGTTTTCAAGATCCCTGTAGTGAGAAGCGAATTTGTAACAGCCTGTATAGTTGGGAATTTGCAAGTCTGAATAATATTCACATTTTGGAATTCACATGAAATAAGTGGAAAAAACTTGTCCTGTATTGTTTTATTTTTATATGAAGCCATTATTTTACTATAAATTTAAAAATATGTAAAACTAAATATCGACATATCTTTTGAACGGGAAGAGATATTGAAAAAATTTATTGATAAAAGTTTTAGAGAAAAGAGATCTTTCGCATGATGCTGAAAAATATTTATGAAATTGGGAAAAATAATTTCGATGATGTCACAGAACTTAAAGTGGTAAACTTACCAAGATGGAAATTGAGGTCGAATACTTATATCATCATGCAATATAAATCCCCGCTTGCACTTTCTTGTTAGCGCTTTCTATTTTTCAAATACCACATTATCATATTACTTATCTATAAATTATATTTAATAATTGGGTAATTATTTACTTTAGTGGCACCACCTCCAACATTCACGAAATTTTGTCTACCCCCCTATTTTCGATGGTGCTGAACACGAATCTGCAGGTTTTTTTGTGCGGTCGAACCTAGTTTTCGAGAAAAAAAATTTTCAAAATTCTAACCTGGATATTTCATATAACACTACGTAGAACTCTGTATATTTTATGTAGCTTTCAAGAACATCTGTTATGAACAATTAACACTGTTCACGAAACACATTTTCGTAAATTTCAAGTAAAAAGATATGTATTTAATAAATAAAAATTTTGCAGTTTGAATCCGCCATTTGTAATTCGTGATGACAACATTGAGTTCCCCCACTCTCATTCAAATCTGTTCATCCCACATAAAGTTATTATAATTTTATTTATTAAATACATATTATTTTTTAGTTCAAATTTGGGAAAATATGTTTCTTATACAATGTTCATTGTTTATTACATATGTTCTGAAAGCTACATAAAATATACAGAGTTCTACGTAGTGTTATCTGAAATATTCAGGTTAGAATTTTGAAAAATTTTTTTCTCAAAAACTGGGTTCGACCGCACAAAAAAAACTTCAGATTCGTGTTCAGCACCATCGAAAATAGGGGGGTAGACAAAATTTTGTGAAAATTGGAGGTGGTGCCACTAAAGTAAATAATTACC